GGGGGGAAAGGAATGAAATGGGGGGGAATGAAATGTGGGGGGGAAGAAATTAAATTTGAGGGGGAGGTGGGAGAGGAAATTTGAGGCGGGGGGAGAGGAAGGAAATTTGAGGCAGGGACAGAGGAAGGAAATTTGAGGGGGGAGAAGGAAATGAGAGGTAGAGGGGGAGAAGGAAATGAGAGGGAGGAGGAGAAGAAGGAAATTGGAGAGGGAGGGGGAGAAGAAGGAAATTGACAGGGGGAGGGGGAGAGATTGACATCCATCACACACAATGCACCCCTTGCACACAGAAAAACACACAATGCATTACACACAGACACACGTACACAAGCAATGCATCCCTTACACACAGCAACACACAATGCACCCCTTACACACACTCAATGCATCCCTTACAGACGCACACACTGCATCCCATACATACACAAACTCATCTTGCAGCCCTTACACATACAAACACAGATTCACACAATGCATTCCTTACACACATCAGGACATCCCCCACACACACACTCCACTCCCTGTGAACAAACTCATTGGTGGAACATGAAGGTGGACCCTGGGACCCAGACCTTGAGCTGTGTAAAGGGCCCTCAAAAAAATGGAGCTGCTTCCCGTTCTCCCAGAACATTGATTTTTGTGACCACAGTTACAAACCGCCTCCAGAGAGCCTGTTGTACACCAGACCAGTGGAGCCAGACTGCAGCTAGAGCCCATCATCATCCTCATCTGGTTGTAAGTAGGCAATCTAGTATATTATTCGTGGCACTGATCTCTAATTTACCTCACATTAAAGGGACACTATAGTCCCCAGAACCACTGCAACTTAATGTAGTGGTTCTGGTGTCTAGCCTGTCCCTGCAGGCCTTTTAATGTAAACACGGCGGCACTGCAGCACTTGTGTTAGTTAAGATGGCAGATCATATGGGTGGGGCATTGTGATGTCACATGGGGGGGCGGCAAACTTTACTTTTGCCTAGGGTGGCAAAAATCCTTGCACCGGCCCTGCAGACACTACATCCCTGTGGGCGGATTCGGGGGGGGGCAGCACTTTGGGCAGACTCGGGTGCAGGCACCGGGGGGCCCAGACCTTGAGCTGTGTCAGGGGCCCCAACATTTCTGATGGCAGCCCTGCATGGAGGCACTAGGAGACATGGGGACAGTGAGCCACTGGCAGACTGGGGGCACTGGGAGACTAGGGGGCACTGAGACACCAGGGACACTGGCTGGGAGACATGTGTCTGTGTCATAATGTCTCCCAGTGTCCCTTAGTGTCTCAGTGTATGTCTCCTTGCAGCCTTTCCCCCCATCCCTTACTTCCCTGAGCTGTAGGCTGTCTCTGCAGGGTGGGAGTAGCTGCACCCTGCAGAGACAGCTGCATAGGCAGGGAGGGATATGCTGGAACTTCCTATCCCTGCCTGTCTCCACATACAGTGACCCCTACTGGCCAGTGCTGGTATTGCATAGTAATCTCTTGTTTATACTGAGAAAAATACCAGCATTTGTATTGCCAGTATCACTGCAATATTGGAACCAGCCAGGCAGCCTCAAATACTGGCTGTGCCAATAAAATAAAAGCCAGATGAAATCCCTAAGAGTAGTGTGTGAAAAACAAAAAGGTAAAAAAAATGGGCCTGGGCCTGGGCCTGGAGCTGCAGCTCCATCAGCCCCTATGTTAATCCGGCCCTGACTGGAGGAACTAAAGTGGGAGGTTTTTTGCTGCACAGTTATTTTGCTGCACTGTTGTTACTACTTATTGAATCAGTGCAGGCAGATTTTCTGCCTCTACCTCTTACTGCATAGTGATACTGAATTTTACCGTGGCATAAAAAAAGATTGCTGGCTAGGGGACAGTCACTAAATATTGATTTTATACAGACTGCGTTTCCACATTAGTGTTGCTCGAGACAAGTCGGAGTAAAAGGTGAGCTTGTGTGTTTCAAATTTGCAGGTGGAGGAGTCTCGAACTGCTGCTAGTATGGCCTGTTTATCCAGTGAGGTGACAAGTTGGATGATCAGGTCCCTTGATGGTGTATCTTGGATGTTAGGCGATTTGGGTAGGCGGTAGCAGTGTTAATTATGATGGCTTTTTCTCTCTTGGGCGGTAGCAGGTGGTAGAACAGTCGGCTTAGGTATTGAGGTAGCTCGTTTGTGGCCACTTCTTCTGGTACTCCCCTCAGCTTAATATTATTTTGCCGGCTCTTGTCTTCTAAATCCGCCATCTTCGTCGCCAGACTTTCTTGAGCCCAGCTGGTTGTGGCTTGTGCTTCCCGCAGTGCGGTTTGTGAGGTAAGTAGGCCTGAGACAACGTCCTCTGTTAGTTTGACTCTGCCCGTCAGGGAGTGTATGTCTTCCCTGATAATCGCTTGGAATAGGGATCGTATGTCTTTAAGTAAGGACTTGATGTCCCTTTTAGTTGCTGGTGTGTCGTCCTCTTCCTCCGAGGAAATGTGGTTTAGCCTCAGCTCTGAGGTAGCTCGTTGAGGGTATCCATGGACAGCTCCTCTTCTGATGAGGTATCCCCTGTGGCGGCAGTCCCCAATATCTTGGGAGCCCTGTCCTGAGGCATTCTGTTTATTTAGGGACCGTTTCCCCATTGAGTTACCCTTTGTGGGAGCTTTTTGGCGTCGGCTTGTGCGGTATTTAGCGGTTCTTTGGCCGATCTTAGCCGGATTTTGCTTGGAGCTCTTGCTGGACACGTCTTCACACAGGCGCCCCCCGATGAGAGAGATTTGCTAAGAGATTTAACGTGTAGTTCTGGGCTGATTCCTCACAGTTCTCATGATCATTGAAACTCCACAAAGTGAGATCTTGCATGGAGCACCAGAACGAGGGAGACTGACAGTTATTTTGTGTTTCTTCCATTTGCAAATAATTGCACCAAGCTGCTTATTGATGGTCTCATTCCAGCCTTGTGTAGGTCTACAATCTTGTCCCTGAAATCCTTGGACAGCTCTTTGGTCTTGGCCATGGTGGAGAGTTTGGAATCTGATTGATTGCTTCTGTGGACAGGTGTCTTTTATAAAGGTAACAAAATGAGATTAGGAGCACTCCTTTTAAGAGAATGCTCCTAATCTCAGCTTGTTACCTGTATAAAAGACACCTGGCAGCCAGAAATCTTGCTGGTTGATAGGGTATCACATACTTATTTCACTCATTGACATGCAAATCAATTTATAACTTATTTGACGTGCATTTTTCTGGATTTTTTGGTTATTTTGTCTCTCACTGTTAAAACACTACCATTAAAATTATAGACTGATCATTTCTTTGTCAGTGGGCAAACGTTCAAAATCAGCCGGGTAATCAAATACATTTTTCCCTTACTGTAAATACACAATATGTATAAATATATATATATTTTTTTTATTTTTTTTTTATTTACAACACTATTTTTCTACCTGTAGCTTCATAATAAAGCAAACATTATAAATCTTTCCATCCAACCAACATTTCCAGCTTCGCTGGCATTAAATACTTTGCTATCTATCCATATTGAAATGAAAAATACATTTAAACATTATTTTCCAGGACACCCAAAATACTCAGATTCTGGAGGTAGGTTTTTTGCCAACTATTTGGCAGGAGTTAAAGAATTTACCTGGCACTACTTCAGTTCTTGTAATATAATTGTGCTGAGTGTGCTGGTCATGACCTGATTCACAATATTTATTAAAATTGTATAAATGCTGACTCTATAGAGGTAGCTCATCACCCATTTGTGGATGTCATATAGTGCATGTTGTTTGTGTGCACATGGGAAGTTAGGACAAATGTCTTAAAGAAGTACTTCCTTCTTCTTTGTGCTGGGACACAAATCAGCCAGGAAGAGCAACCCTTATAAAAGTACTGATTTGTCTTCAAAATGGGATTTTTATAAAGTGACCAAGAGGAGACACTCTGAAATGCCTGAAGTGAACCCCAGAAGTGCTTTAGAGATCCAGAATGCTCATTGTATCAGATTATTATAGCTGGATTATGTTTGCATAATGCTGTCATTTCCTCTAGTAATGTGTGGTCTGCATGGATGAATCTAGTACAAGGCACAATATTTATCTATATGAGTAATGAAAACATTCAAGACCCAACCAATTTAGGCTTTGCTTCCTTCCTTGTGCACGTTTTTGTTTGACACTCTCAAGAAAAAACAGGATTTCCGTTTAGACTTGCACTTTGCTGTTGGTTTTCCACAATATTCTGAATGATGTTTGTTGTACCTGCCTTGTAACTTTACCACATTCTCCCAGCCCTTCTGAGAGATAAATGAAAATGTGTGAACATATCACTAGTAATTATATTATCTTGAAATATCTTTTTTCTTACACCAACAGAGCTTCCAGGAGATCTTCAAGCCTCAGAAATGCTTTACACTAGATAAAGGGACAATCTTTTGAAAACATGCCGTCCCAAAATTCTGTTAGTCTAATAAAAAAGGGCATTAAAAGATACTAAGATTCCTTAGTTGTTAACGTCCAACTGAAATTCTTAATGTCACCAAATAACCCCCACACTCCCTCGAGACCCCTGTGTATTTCCCCTTGTAAGTGTCGTTTGCCTCTTGTTCTAATTTTGCTTAATCTTCCACTACACAACATATCTCATGTTATCACTCACCATGCTCACATTCCTAACATATGTTTAAGATTGTAAGATCTAACATGCTGCATCCTCATGATCGATATTAGTTCAACAAATAATAATAAAGTATTTAACCAGGAAAGGTACATTCAGATTACTCTGGTTTTCAAGTACATCCTGGGGATGTTATCTTAGCCCAATTTAATGGTACTCATTTGATTTATCTCAGAAGGATGAAGGGCTGAGTAAACCCTGCTGGGATTTAAACCTGTAACCCAAGGGCTGGACAGAGTCTACTGATGATGCATTAGCCCACTGAGCTATCTCACCAGCCTAAACTCAATCTTTAGATTTCAATCTCCAAGACCCAGAGGTGCCTCTTCCACATCTTGAATTGTTCATGTCATTTGCTCAGGGCTACTTAGTGCAAGGTTAGCTTGGTTTAACACAAAACTTGGTGCAGAAAATGTCTTGTATTAAATGTATTTGAAACACGTCTACTATTGTTCTATATTGGCAGCTGCTCTTAATGACTATTTCATGCACTATAAAAAAAAAAAGATACTAGCATTATCTGTTACTCTACTTCTCCATTTAAGCAGTAACATTTATACTATTTATATATAGTACACCTTGCTTCATACACTTTTATATTCCATTTTAGAACACTGTGTTAAAGCAAACAATATTTGCTCACAAAACCAGTTCATTAACTGCCAATAAAGTTAATTGCAGACCTTTTTATTTTACAAACTAGTTAAAGTCTTTAAACAGACTGACAAATGTACTTTACAAAGTAAATCTAGGCACCCCTAACTCATTTTAGCCATGACCCAAGAAGAGATTTAAACTAATTTCCTCATTGATTGACTGCAGTACTGATTCATTCACCGTCATCAATCAATACTTGTAAGGAAATGCTCCCAGATTCTAATCTTTTCCTTTGATTTTAATAAATCATTCACCTGATGAATGGTTGCAAACCTTATATCTGTTTCTTGTAAATATTAAAATCATTTAAGAGAGGGTCTCTTCCTGCCCCAACAGCTCGATACAGTATTCTCCTCTGTTATTGTTATGTCTCTATCAGTTGTCTACCTGCAGAGATTGATGGATGAGGTATGTGGTTTATAATTAATAATCATTAAAAATAATATACAAATGTTCTCAAGCCAAACTAACTACATGCTTTAATCTTTTTACATTAAAAATTCATGACTCAAAACTTAAATACCATCGTAGAGGACAATTAGGTAAATGATAGATCTATATTGTGAACTGTTCATTTTTGCAGTTAAGATATATAGATACACGATCACCTAATAAAAAAATATCTTCAAAAACCACACAATTTTAAAGACAGGCAAAAATATATTTATTCACAGTATATGATCATACATTGCATAAGTCTGATACAACACCAATGTACTCGCTATTGGCAGTTCCTACTCTACCAACCTAAACTCTGTTTCCCAAGTAATGGGTTAATCTCATAAGGGCAGGCATTACGTTGTTAGTGCAGGACCTTCCAAAAGTTGCCTATACTGGCATGGCTTAAATAATGTAAGCTCATACAGTGAGGGGGAAAAGTATTTGATCCTCTGCTGATTTTGAAACGTTTGCCCACTGACAAAGAATTGATCAGTCTATAATTTTTATGGTAGATGTATTTTAACAGTGAGAGACAGATTTACAAAAAAAAAATCCAGAAAAGCACATGTCAAAAAAGTTATAAATTGATTTGCATGTCAATGAGTGGGCAAACGTTCAAAATCGGCAGGGGGTCAAATACTTTTTTCCCTCACTGTATACTGTACTTAAATTTTTTATAAAAATCTACATTTTATGGATTTTGAAGCCAGCTTATAGTTAAGTAAGTGTTCTTGATTATGTATGTTGAATGAGCTGGTGCAGTTGCACTCTTTTAATGTATCTAGAAATGCATTCCTCTGGACAGAGATCTCTGATGTCCCACCTGGAATCTTCTAAAGTCACTTTACCAACTTTGGAGTTACAGCCCTAACCGGAACACTACTGAAAGGGGCCCAACATAATTTCAAGCTCCTTTTCCAGTCTTTGGTATTTGTCCACATTCTCATGTTCCTTCTTCTTGATGTTATGGTCATTGGTTATTGCCACATCCACCACCACTACAGTCTTCTGTTCTTTGTCTACTATTATGATGTCAGGCTGGTTGGCCACCACTTGCTTGTCTCCCTGGATCTGGAAGTCCCACAGTTTGTTAGCCATGTCATTTTCAACTACCCTTTGTAGTATCTCCCATCGGGACTTGGGCAGGTCCAGCCCACTTTCTGAGCAGATGTTTCAGTACACAATCTCACCAACTTGGTAGTGCCTCTCAGCTTATACTGCCCCTGCTAATCTCTAGAGCCCAGCTTTATGATGTGTATTCCCCATGTTTCATCCAGGGCTGTGACCAAGTTTATACATTATATACGTATTATATTTATATGTAATTTTGAAAAAAAATATAATCAAAAGAGCAAAGTAAGAAGAATGCTGTATTTTCCATGGGAATGGCACGTAAATTAACAAAAATATAATGATCTCATAAATTAATGGCACATAAATTAATTCTTTAAATTTGATAAAGGGAGCAGCTTCCAAAAATATATAATATTCCCGAGTTCTGTTAGTCCAACAATAAAATGGTAATACAAGATACCGTGATGCTGATTATTTACCAAACTAATAGAATTCAATTCACAGTGTAGGAGTAAATTGTAATATTCACATTATGCTGCTGATTAAACTCTGATAGCTGTGGATGCATGCAGTGAATTATCATTTTTACCTTTACCTGGAAGATGGCTTTCACATTTTAATATGTGTCAATAAAGGTTTAATATTTTACAGTCATGCTGGCTCAAATGTTTCAGTATCTCTTTATTGTATACCTTGCAAAATGATTTAATGGGATAGCTTTCTTCTAATCTATTCACAGCTATCTATTTAGAAGAACAGTGTTAGAATCATAAAAGAGCACATTCAAAAACAAGAGTGGTCCCAAAAAATCAATAACTTGTAGTAATAATTTAACAAGCTTTAGGGAGATTATATTAGTCCAATAAATTTTGAATATTAATGTCATCTGTCATTTTTCATCTTTATGTTTTTGGTTATACATTGTGTAAGA